TCAGTCTCTTGGCAGACCAAACATAACAGCTGGATGTGTTGGACCTCTGCAAAGAGACCACTGCTTGCACACAAAGAGCAACGACTCCTGCCCTGGACGATATTAGTGCCAGCCTCTATATCAGCTGGGCTTGTTGAGCCTCTGCAGAGAGGTTGCTGTTTCTCACACAGAAAGTAAGGGTCCTTCTCCGAGCATGATTGCAGGGAAGAGGCTTTTCTACTCTGTGGCTTACAAACTGTAAGGGAAGGCAGCCAAGTGAATAATCCAGCAGTCATCAGCTAAAATCAGCCGAAGTGCAGAAGGAGATCCAACATCTCATAGGGGGCGAACGGCAATGAGTGAATAGTCGAATGCCGCCAAGTGGCATTCGGCTCAGCTATGCTGCTCGGTACCTCCATGGTACCGACCAGAATAGAAAATAAGTGAAAAGAATGAAGAAAAAAAATATAAAAGTTGAAATAATGTTAAAAAAAATAGGAAAATGTAAAAATAAATAAAAATATTTTAAAGAAAAAAAAACAATTAAAAAAAACATTGCACGCCGACCCAACTGCATGTGATGGACTCACACCGCATAATGAAGCATCTGACAGATGCCGGCAAAACAAAACAAACAACCAACTGTTTCCTATTGGCCGGCACCTTCCAGAGTCTTCTAACTGGTCCTGGCCAATGAATAACAACTGGGCGGAGCCAGACGTGACATCACGGTCGGCTCCACACAGTTGTTATTGTTTAATGACAGTTCAGCGTCCCCTGGTCATTTGGGAACGCTGATCTGTCATTACAACTGGGCGGAGCTCGCCGTGAGATCACGGCTGGCTCTGCCCAGCTGTCAGTTGCATGGACATTGGTCGGCTTCGGCCGACCTTTCTCCACGCTTCGGGGGTCACTACGGCTCAGCCGAGCCGAAGCACATGCATTCGGCTGCTGTACGGGCTATTGTACCACACGGATGGGGGGGGGAGAGGGGGGCAGAGGGCACCTCCCTGAAATGAGAAAGCACCTCCCTGAAATTACTTTTTTCAGGTTGGGATCACTGGAACTTCAGCTGCTCATACCTCTGGATCTCTTTTTCAACACGCTCTCGGTTTGAATTCTCTGGGTATGCTTTAGAAATAGTAAACCGTTCATCGTTTGAAGATCCAAGCGCAGCTCCTGCCTCTCATGTCCCTCTTCCTGCACTGCGTTCCGTGCATTACGACAGGACAGGTGTTCTTTAATACCTAAGCTCGCTTTCCTGGCGCCTATTAATAATACATAGCGGCAGTAGATGGGACCGTGTCCTCGGGCTGTGTTCTTGAAGGACTGCGTTCTTCAGCTTTAATGAAAGGTATCTCCACAGCAGGAAGCCCACTTTGAATAGCAGAATATAAAACAACGAAGTGTAATTTTATCATTTAAGACGCACTTTTTATTTTTTTTGCAAGTACACTAAATACACGCCGGCGACTGTATTATCCATTTTACGTTGCATCCCCCAAGTCAGCATGCCACTCATCATTTTTATATGAAGCGCAGGCGATAAATCAAAGTACAGTTACCTGAGTAACGCGCTCCGCCGCAGCCCAGCAGGGCTCGGTACACAATTTTGAGGCTTCAGCGCGAGTAGGAAACAAAAAAAAAAAAGTCACGTAAATGATGCTGCTTGAAACTTCAGGCGCGGTACAAAGTGCACTCCTGGCCTGTTTATACTGCAGCCAAGGCGTCGCGGGAGAATTTGATTAAAGAGGAGCTCTGGGCCAATCCTGAAACATAAAATAAATCTCTTGGAAGCAGGGAACATTTATTAAAAACGTTCAAAAAGTGTCGGAATTACTTTCAAACCTTCTTCGTTAAAGAGGAACCCCGGGAATCTAAAAAAAAAAATAACCCTTTGCTGTGTGGGAATAGCCTTGCGGGCGCAAATAAAAAAAAGATATACTCACCTGATATTGGTTCCCGCCTTGTTGCTAGAGCGGTCTCCGCAGCCTCTTCTCCCCCGGGCTCCGGCGGTCTCAGGACCCGTCATCACGTCTAACGCAGGTCACTGGCTTGCATTAGATGTGAGGGCGCCAAGGAGTGTACCGAGGATGAGAGAGATGAGTTGTCACTGCCACAGGACCGAGAATCAGGTGAGTATATCTTCTGTATTTGAGCCCCTAGACCAAAATAAGTAAAAGACCCACTGCAAGGGTTAACTTTTGAAAGTCCGGGAGATCTGATTTAAAGATGACTTGGGAAGTCAGGAATGGGCAGAACCCGAATCTCCACTCTTACGTTGTAATATTAGGGCAGCCTTATGTCTTTGGGAGGGGTGTTGTGCTGTTATTCACTTGCATTCTTCCCTATCTGAGTAGTATTGGCAGAGCAGTGACAGACCGCAATGGAGGCTGTCCTGAAGGTTTAGTTATCTTTTAAGCGCACAGTAGTCAAACGCAACCCAAATCTCCACTCTTAAGTTGTAAGAAAAGAGCAGCCTTATGTCTTTGGGAGGGCAGTTGTGCAGTTATTCACTTGCATTCTCCTCTATCTAACCCATATCTTTGAAATTACAACAAAGACATCTTTAGAAATGTTGAGTGATGACAATCTACAAACAGATACTTATAGATAATTGCCGGCTTTTTAGTCTTTGCGTACCTTATTTTTCTTTTCCTTCTCATTCTTCTCACAGTGGCCATTTTTACTAAGAGCAGATTAATAGATCTCCCTTTACTTCCTGGAACTCTGGCACATGTGACTAGGACATGTGACCATGCACATCATCTCAGGAGGAAGGGAAATGCCTATCCCTGAGATCTTATGAGAATACAGAGGAGATTTCCCAGCAATGCTCTGCTGATGTAACCTTCCCAGGATGCAATGCTTGGGCTCAGGCTGCATCACTAAAGCCCAAGAGGACCAGGAAGTGGAAAACAATAATTGTAAGTAAGAGAATAATATGTTTGTTTTACTAATGAATGCAGAGATGATTTTTAGTGAAAGGGGGTAAAGGTCCACTTTAAGTTGTAATAATAGAGCAACTTTTTGTCTTTGGTAGAGGTTTTGTTCTGTTATTCACCTGCATTCTCCCCCATCAGAGCAGTATTGACAGCTCACTGACAGGCCCCGATGGAGGCTGACCTGGAGTTTTCCTTATTCTTGAAGGCAGGGAGCACACAGTAGAATCAAACACAACAACAGGCCGTTTCATCTTACCAGTGCTAGATATTCCGATCCTGCTTTTTGGAATGAAAACACAATCGAGGGATAGAAAATAAACATCTAACGGAACATTTTATATTCCTAATGGCCGGTGACACTCCGAGATCAGAAGACAAAACTTCTCCTCTCGGTCCCCTTCCAGCGCGATCATCTGCTGGAATAAAATATAGGAGCGGCTAAACATGCAACGTGCCTTGGAAACACCGCCTTGTATCGGCGCCAATTACAGGTGCTAATGTTATTCTGAACTGAACGTGGAAAGTGAAGATTTACCATGTTATAAGGAAATTCTTTACATTTATACAAGCAGTACCCTAAAAAAGGGACCTTTGATATGGAATTCCACCCGAAAAATATCAGTGTGCCTACTTGTATGTGAACGTGCCTAGGAACTCCTGTGCCTATAGCCTCATAGCTGTGCATCTGCAGTGTGAGATCTAAGGCACTGCTGCCTCTGACTGCCAGTCTCAGGAAGTTTGGAGGAAGATTTGGTGATGACACTTCTGTTCTGCTCACTGTTCTCTTTGCTGGAGGCTTTAACATGAGAAAGCAAAGCCCTGCCTCTACCAAGATGGCCACCTCCATTCAGAACAAGGCTTGGGAAGTCAGCACCGGGGAAAAGACTGTTGCATCTGTTTAGCAAAAATTGACAGTTAGATACATTTTTTCCACTTGGTTTTTTAGGCATACCAACCCCCCTACTCCATTGTGTGTGCGGTTGGTAGGAGGGAATTCTCTCCCCCATCTTCCAACAGCTAGGTCAGTTGATACCAGTGGGTGACATCACTGCTCTATGGAATTCAGCCCCATTGTTGGCTGTGCATCAGGCTTTGTGGTCAGGTGACCACATAGAAAACTGAATGCAAAAGGTATTTTTATGCCAATTGATGCTAAACAGCATGCAGCACAATAGGGAGTAGGGGGGAGGCAGCATGTGAAAGGTGGGGCGTCATATAGCCTGAATTTCTTCCTTGACGGCAGCCATGGCAGCTGCTTAAATAGATTTGTTTATCATTCCGACTAGAGTTCTCCTTTACCAAAGCAAGAATATCTCCCAATGTTACCTGAGGATTTACAACACCCAGAGAAACATTCATCCTCCATTAACAGTTGATCCAGATAAGCATGAAAGCGGGATACTGAGGATGTGGTTGTCATGGCGACAGAATCCGCAGCCACCCCCCTGCACACCTGTGCATTCAGAATGATTCCCAAACAGCACCGCGTCGCCGTCCAACTACAGGGTACAGACGCACGCCAGTGCGACGAAACATAAAGAAATGGTGATGTGTAAAGTAGCGCCCTCCAGAGCAGCCAATCGGACTTTGGTTTACTTTAGCCGGCCCAGGGAAATAGGATGAGAATTCTGATTGGCTGCTGGAGATTACTATACTGTGTACATTGCTTATTATTACAAGTCAGTACTCCTTATAGCTGCAGCGCAACCATTTAACCTGTACGCTAAGGACTGGACAGGTGGCAACCCTAATTCCTGCGGCTGTCAGTATCTTGCAATGCCTCATGGGACTTGTAGTTCCACAACAGCTGGAGGCTGAGGTTGCCTATCCCTGTTATACACAATACATATTTACACTGCTTCCTCGCTTGACATAACAATTGATTTTTCATAGACAGTGACTAAACAACATCCGGCAACCTCCAAACCATTGATTATTCGAAACCAAAACAAATCTCAGATTCTACGGCACTGATGGCCGCACCAGACGCCGCCTTCAGTTTAAGAAAAAATCGCCAGAGCACACAGCAAAGCAAACGGCAAACCTCCGCCAGGGGTAAGGAAACTCGCGGCCTACCTCCACTCCCTGCACTTTGAGCTTCATGTGATCTTCCCGCGTTGTTTTCCCGTCTTTTCGCTTTTTCCAGCAGTATCCATCTTTCCGATATTTCACCTTCTTACGATTGTACAAGATCATGGAACCATTCTGTGGCCTGCGAACGAAAACAGACAAAATTCAAACAAATTCAGTTAAAGTTCACATTTCCTATTGGAGAAGAAAAGAATGCATTGTTTCGTTTGATTTGTTTGATACTTTGTTTCATTTTAAAGGGATGTTCCGCTTTTTCCTCATTGGAACATGGTAGAAGTTGGCCGGAGGTCATGTGACCCCCGGCAAAAGCAAGCAGCCTAAGATGACAATGCTGTGTCGTCACCCTAGGACAGGGGTGCCTATTAGGTCGATCGCGATCTACCAGTCGATCGCAAAGCGAACACTGGTAGATTGTGATCGGCTGTGTCTTGTCCTTCCGCAGTGCTCGTGCGACTGCTGGCTGAATGTGTCGGACGCCGCAGACGGCACCGCAGGAGGACAGGATGCCGGCACACAAGAGGAGACCTGGGAAGCTGCAGCAGTGGAGGTAAGAAAAGACAGACAGGGGAGAAACAGCAGAGAAAGTGAGAGAAGAGACAGCAGAGAGAGAGAGAGAGAAGTGACAACAGAAAGAGAGAAGAGACAACAGAGAAAGTGAGAGAAAAGACAGCAGAGAGAGAGAAGAGACAACAGAGAAAGTGAGAGAAGAGACAGCAGACAGAGAGAGGAGAGACAGCAGAGAAAGTGACAGAAGAGACAGCAGAGAAAGTGAGAGAAGAGACAGCAGAGAGAGAGCGAAGTGACAACAGAGAGAGAGAAGTGACAACAGAGAGAGAGAAGAGACAACATAGAAAGTGAGAGAAAAGACAGCAGAGAGATAGCGAAGTGACAACAGAGAGAGAGAAGTGACAACAGAGAGAGAGAAGAGACAACATAGAAAGTGAGAGAAAAGACAGCAGAGAGAGAGAGGAGAGACAGCAGAGAAAGTGAGAGAAGAGACAGCAGGGAGAGAGAGAAGTGACAACAGAGAAAGCGAGAGAAGAGACAGCAGAGAGAGAGGAGAGACAACAGAGAAAGCAAGAGAAGAGACAGCAGAGAAAGTGAGAGAAGAGACAGCAGAGAGAGAGAGGAGAGACAACAGAGAAAGCAAGAGAAGAGACAGCAGAGAAAGTGAGAGAAGAGACAGAAGGGAGAGAGAGGAGAGACAACAGAGAAAGTGAGAGAAGAGACAGCAGAGAGAGAGAGGAGAGACAGCAGAGAAAGTGAGAGAAGAGACAGCAGAGAAAGTGACAGAAGAGACAGCAGAGAAAGTGAGAGAAGAGACAGCAGAGAAAATGAGAGAAGCGAGACAGCAGATAGAAACAGAGGAGTGAGGAGAGAAAGCGCAAGGAGAGAGAGAAGAGACAGCCAAGGGAGGGCCAGTTCAAACCACAAAGTCTGCGTCCCAGAGTGTTCGGCCTCTAGAATGCACTGGAACGCAAGTTGGGCGCTTCCCCGGGGTTCTGGGGCGGGAGGGGGTGTGGGGTTGTATTGAAGTCAATGACACCTCAGCCACGCCCCCCGCCTGCAGTGCGATCGCACCCGCACCGAAATGCAGGCACGTTGGTGCCTGCGTTCCAGTCCAGTGCGATCTGCAAAAATAGTGCTTGCAGCATTTTTGCAGATCACACTGGACCAGGTGCGGGCGAGGGGCGTGGCTGGCATCGCCTGGCACCCATTTACTTCAATGCACCGCCACGCCCCCTCCCGCCCCTGGATGCAGGTGTTTTTTCGTTGGTAGATCTCATTGAGCTCGTCATTTGAAAAGTAGATCTCCAGACGAAAAGTTGTGGGCGCCCCTGCCCTAGGACAGGGAGTGTGTTATTGGCAGAATCAGGAGGTAAAAATAAATCACGAAAATGAAAGCAGCCGCCACATCTAAGTACTGGTAAAATGCAATCTATTATATATCATGTATATAGCGCCGACAATTTACAAAGCGATTTACACAGTGCACATTCACATCAGTCCGTGCCCTCAAGGAGCTTACAGCCTAACGTCTCTATCTCACATGCATACATACAAGGGCCAATTTAGCTGAATTTACATTAGTTTAGCTGCATTCAGTTTCGAATCGGATTGTGGACGCACATAATTCTATTTTCTGCAACTAAGATGAATGACCCCAAAATTCAGGCAAACGTCCAGTCTGAGTGATACTATTGACAAAACATCACCTGCATTTATATGCATCTGGAAATGTACCGTACATGACGTGTGAATGAGACCTTACATCATGAGAATTCTACCTTGACAGGGAGAGAATACAAGTAATTATTAAAATACCCTGAAAGATAATGCTGAATGTTTATGAAGGTAGTGGAGATTCAGTGGAGATACAAATTCCTATTGGTGACAGGTTCTCTTTAAGGGAAGCTGTTTAGCCTTACCTGTTAAAGTGGCATCCCCCCACCCCTGCTTCCTGATTATAGGGTTCAGTGATGCTATAAACAGTGGTCCCCCTGTGCGCACAGACTCCGTATGTTTACCCCAGGGTGGTGCAAAGCATCTCGGTAGCACCGCATTCCCCTTGAGAGCCTTCGCAGGTCATTCGGCAAAATTGACAAGCACAGTACTATTCACGGCAGGCTTCCGATGCCCTCTCAAGCGGCCGCCTACACCTACCCTAGAGCTACCCGATCAGATTATCCGTAATACTCTCCACTGCAACATTGGCCACGAGCCCTTTTCTCCATTTGTATGTTCCAGCATTTTATTATTATTTTTCCCCCCCCAAACACTGTAAATCCCCGGCGTCATATATCACCGGCAAAAGAGCCCTTCTTACTTACGAGATCTCCTTTTATACCCATCATTGACACATTTAATTCATTAGCTGCAAGATCCACAAGTAAATGTTTGCAGGTCATAAACTATCTGAGGAAATCCAGCCCCTGGAAACAACACATGAAAAATGATGCCTGCTGGAATCTAGGATATTGCTTTTCTGTAACCGCTCCTCAGGACCCAACTTTTTTGTTGTGCTTGTCACGGATATGTTCAGGATTTCAAAGGGTAAATTCCACCTTTCTAACTAGACGCGGTATGCGGGACGGTGAAAAAACATCCACTTTGTACATAAAGAGGGTAAAGCTCATTCACTTTCAAAGTGAATTTTCACTTATTGTAGTGAATGAGGTGAAACAAAGTGAAAATGCACTTGGCAAAGAACGCCCAATCACGTACACCCCAATTGTCCCTCTTTTTGAAATAAATCCCTCTGTTCCCCTTTTGGAACTAATTCCATCCATCCTTCTTTTTAAACCTAATCCCTCTTTCCCTCTTTTGGAACCAAATCCCTCTGAACCTCATCCCTTTGTTTCTCTTTTGGAACTATATCCCTCTATCCCTCATGTGGAAAAAAAAAACCTCTGTCCCCCTGTTAGAAATAAATTCCTCCATTCATCTTTTGTAACCTAATCGCTCTGTCTCTCTTTTGGAACTAAACCCCTCTGTCCCTCATTTGAAGCTAAATCCCTCTGCTTCTCCTTTGAAACCTAATCCATTTGTCCCTCTTTTGGGATATAATCCTTCTGTCCCTCTTTTGGAACCTTATCCCTTTGTCCCTCTTTTGAAACCTAATCCCTTTGTCCCTCCTTTGGGATCGAATCCCTCTGTCCCTCTTTTGAAACCTAATCCCTTTGTCCCTCTTTTGGAACCTTATCCTTATGTCCCTCTTTTGGAACTAAACCCCTTGGTCCCTCATTTGAAGCTAAATCCCCCTGCTCCTCATTTGAAACCTAATCCCTTTGTCCCTCTTTTGGGATATAATCCCTCTGTCCCTCTTTTGGAACCTTTCCCTTTGTCCCTCTTTTGGGATATAATCCCTCTGTCCCTCTTTTGGAACCTTTCCCTTTGTCCCTCTTTTGGGATATAATCCCTCTGTCCCTCTTTTGGAACCTTATCCCTTATGTCCCTCTTTCCTCTCTTTGGTCTGATGTACAGATATCTATGGAAATGTACAATTCAACTACCAAAAAAGTGTTATTCTACACTAAAACCTTCTCTTATCCAATCGCAAACCTTCCAACTGTTCCTCATTTGGAACCAAAACCCTTTGTCCCTCTCTTGTAAACTAATCCCTGACATCATTACGCACACGCAATGACATCATGTGCACATGATGGTGATGGATTCCAGCAAAGAGAGGAAGGGACGTTCAGCCAGCGGGATAAGGTATGCCGCAGAGTCCCCTCCTCTCACGTGCAGTTGTCGGGCTCTCGGTCAATGATCAAGTGCCCAATTTTTCAGAGGGGGTGACACCAAAATGACTGTCACCCCCTCTGATGGTGTCACCCAGTGCGGGGCACACTAGACATGTAAGCTGCGGAAAAATTCGGTTCAATTCGGATATTTAGTTATTTCGGAATTCGGGATTCAGATCCGAAACTCAATTTGGGTTTTGGAGGAAATCCAAATTTTCGTTAGTTTTGTATAAGTTTACGAATATTTGTTGCAAATACCACAGAAAACCATATACAGATATTAATACTAAAGCTGAGGCTCCCAGACCCGAATGGCATTTGGGATATGAATTTCCAAATTGCATTGGGGAGATCCCGAATGCCTTTCAGGTCTGGGAGCCTCAGCTTTAGTAACATATATGTATATGGCTCCCAGACCCCAATGGCATTTGGAAGGTCCCGAATGTAGTTCAGAAATTCGGATCCTGAATGCCATTCGGGGGTCTGGGAGCCTCAGCTTTAGTAATATATGTATATACTGAACATGAATTTTCGTTACGGCAACATGGAAGCCATGTTGCCATAACGAAAATTCGTGTTCAGGCCTATTCGGATGCATTAAACCGAAAAACACATCTGATTGGCCAGAAAAGTCACATGTCCAATTCAGTTTCGTTTTTGAACAAAATTCGGATGGGACCCGATATTCGGAAACGGAAATTCGGATTTGGACACATTCGGGTGCATTGGGATTCGGCAATTTGGATATGTCTGAATATCGATTTTGGAACAAAACAAATCGCACATGTCTGGGGCATCCATTGCAATCATTTTTTTCACTCCTGCCCGTAGCTGGGCTTTGAGGCTGCATTAGTTCTACACATCATTTTTCAAAGAC